TGTGTGTGTGTCTGTGTGTGTGTGTGTGTGTCTGTGTATGTGTGTATGTGTGTGTGTGCGCGCATGCCACATCTTTATCCAATTATCTGTTGATGGGCATTTGGGCTGCTTCCATGTCTTGGCTGTTGTAAATAGAGCTGCTGTGAGCCTTGTTGTATATATCTTTTCAAATTAATGTTTTGGGGTTTTTTTTGGATATATTCTCAGGAGTAGAATTGCTGGATCATGAGGTAGTTCTATTTTAAGTTTTTTTTAAAGAAATCTCCATGCTATTTTCCATAATGGCTGCGCCAGTTTCCACTCCCACCAACAGTGTATGAGGACTCTTTTCTCCATATCCTCTCCAGCATTTGTTACTTGTGGTTTTTCAAAACTGGAGTATAACTGATTTACACCGTTGTGTTGATTTCTTGTGTACAGCACACTGCTGGCCGTTCTAACAGGTGTGAGGGGGTGCCTCACTGTGGGTTTGGCTTGCATTTCTCTACTGATGAGCAGTGTTGAGCATCTTTCATGTGCCTTTTAGTCATCAGTAATGTCTTCTTTGGGAAAATGTCTACTCAAGTCTTCTGCCCATTTTTGATTGAATTGTTGGTTTGTTTGTTTTTATATTGAGTTGTATGAGACACTTTTTTTTAAATATGAAGATTTTTATCCCAAAGGCAAATTTGCTATGCCCCACCCCCACCTTTTTTACGGAAGGAACAAAAGTAGTACTATGTCTTTTGCAAAAAAGAGAAGACTTCAAATGCTCACTGTAGTGGATGTTGTGGTCTTCCTGTTCAGGATGGAAGCATCCTCGGCCCTGAGGCTGGGAGCACTGGCGGCTCAAAGCTCTCACTCAGCTGCTCTCAGGGGTTTGCCCTCAACCACAGAGACCCAGCTACACTGATGACTGCCTCCTTGGGGACAGCCTGTAGCCAAGGACCAGTCAGTGCTGGAGCAGAAGAGCCCGCGCTCTTGCCGCAAGACTCAGAAAATCCAGTCCAGCTCCAGAGCTCACCATGCGATCCTCTGGGGCCTTTGTTCATTGGAGTTCAAGTCTTCCCTCTGCCCAGCGTGGCTCCCTCTGCCCCACATGGATGTTGGTCCCAAGAGCACTCCCCCAAAATTCCTTCCACACAAATCTTCTCCTTCTCAAAGTTTGTTCCCTGGAAACTCAATCTAACACACTCATCTTATTCTTCCTAAGACTTTCATTATAATTATTTTCTGAATGGTTGTGGGAGAAGATCTCAGAGCTCAGACAAGGCCAGTTCAGGGACAAAGCTTCCCTGTCCTCTTCTCACCACCCTAGATATTTCTATACACCTTTTGATTCACCTTTAAAGGTGAAGGTAAAAATTCCTATGAAGTTGGACCAAAACTGTGGACAGAGCTTCCAATGAGTACTGGTTGCCATGCATGAAGTGATCACTGTATTATAAATGTGTCAGGGAGGTTTTAATCAAACCTTGTCCAAACAAGTCTGCACACATGCACACAAAAATGAAAAGCTAAATGAACTTAGGAGAAGAAATAAAAATAAATTTTCATCATATTTTAAAATACTGTTTAAAAAATTAGCTGTGGATTCCTCTGTCACCTGAAGTGCCCATTATTAAAAAATATTAACAATAAGAGCCTGCTTCCTAAATGTAATTAAACTGTGGTTGTTCCATTTTGCCTAACACACAGGATTTAGTCTGCCCTTTTCTTACCGTACAATTGGGTAACAAACAATTCTACGTAGAACCCAAGCATCACGCTGATGTTGCTCCTGACTCAAGGATCTCTCTTCCTCCCTCCCACTTCTATTCTGTCTTCAATCAATTTTCCCACGTTTATATACGAATTTGTACCATAAATCCAAGTAAGTACAAACCATAGTCCTCAAGTGGTCAGCGGTCACAGATTTTTTTGTGTCTGCATGTGTTTACTTGTTACTCTTATAATTCCTTGAGAAATAATTGCCAAAGTGAGTCAAATGTTAACAGCTGTATCTTAATAAAGAGTTCCATGATCAAATTAATTGGGAAGCACTGGACCAAACAAAGAAATGGAACTTGCTAGAACTTTTCACGTGCACGATCAACCTACAAGAGGAGCTCAGAATACAAGGTGTTTAGTGAACTTTATTCAACTATCCATTTCTCATGAATCCCCCATGGGACTAGATTAGAGCAGAACGATTCTGGGAAATGTTCACATGGAGACTGTATATGAAAGATTTGCAAATACTTTCAGCACATGAGACCAATTCAGTCACGAGGGCAGAGGTGATAAGCTGAAAGTCACAACCACAGGATGCCAAAACCACTTGAGGAAAAATACCTTAATTAACATTTTGTGCCAGCTGTTCTCACTTTTATTTATACCAGATTTTGCCTGACTCGGCCCAAATTATTGATGTTTGGTATAGTATCAGACCCATCTCAGAGTGCGGGGTGGTCCAGGGGCTGAACGCAATCCCAGCTCCAGCCAACTGCTGAAGTATGATTCTAGGAACTAACGCAACTACACCTGTACCGGCCCTCTATTCTGGCCCGAGGTACCGAGGGCTTGCCCGTGGTACTCACCAATGACATACTCCACCCTGAAGAGGTCCCTTGTGGGGTCATATGGACGGTTGAAGTCAATCTGGATGTAGAAGGCCTGTCCTCTGCGCACAATCAGCTTGCTGTTGTCATACTTGTCCGTGTGGTGGTCCACTTTGTTGGTGTCCCATTTCTCCTTGAACAGGTGAACATCCGTGACATTCAGGTAGTCTAAACACGAAGACAAGAATCAAGGGAAGCCATTGAGTAACTTTGGTTTCGACACAAACTCAAAAAAAAAGATTATTTTCCCTGAGGAAGCAAGGTAGTCAGGGCTATTGGATAAAACTCCATACGGGGGTTGGTAGATTTGAGAGTCATTCTCTTGGGACAGCCTTATTTGCAAAGAAGATTTTTAAAAAGCTCTTTCTCCTTCTGATCTCATTTCAGACCACATGGCACTCACTTCGGGATAACAGAGCCCAGTGTTTACAATCCCTGTCAGATAGGTCCAGTTACAGACAAGCTGGGACTAGAGTTCATGCCTTCACATCTGAGTCTCTTGTTGGTTTCCATTATATCGGGTGCTTCCCGCAATGACTAGAGGCTCCCTTTGTTGGGATGAACAGGGAATAGCACTGCAAAGTTCCTCACTGTCAAAAAGGGAGGAATCAAATCTGACAAAGCCTCCAAGGGATGGTCTAAGGACAAAGGTGAACATCAATCCAAAATTCTCCTCTTGCTTCAGGAAGAGTCAACCCTTCCCACCCGTAATTCTAAAAGTGCATATTGTCCTTCAAAGGCAGGAGGCAGAGCGAACAGGTGTGGGAAAAGGATACTAACATTCCTTTGGGGTAGGTAGGGTTGTCTCCACAGCACATGAAGAAACAAGCCTCACCTGTCCCTGGGGACTGAATGACGCTCTGGTGTGATGCCAAAATCTATAGGGCTCTCCTCTGATGTTCGGAATCAGGAGTGTCAGTTGTATGTTTACCTGAGACGTGACAGCACTGGATGAAAGTTGGATCTCCTGTTTTTTCCCTTTCCTTCTGCAAATGCTCACTGAATGTAAAGGTAACTCTAGTTATCTGTCTACACTGCAGTTTAGAAGATCTAATCTAAAGACAGATTTCCGTGTATGCATTTGGAGTCCTAAAGAGGCCCTGGGGAGAGAAGGCGGGTGGGACGCACGCTGGCCTCTTGCCCTCCCCTCCTTTCCCTGCCCCTTCCTGCGGCATGGTTTGTCCGCATGGCTGCCGACTCATGTGCGCAGAGAGCTGGGGCATCGCCCTGCAAGACTCCACTGACTTCCTTTGCTTTTACACAAGAATCCTGTGCAGGGCGCCTGGTCCCCTCTGGCCTCATTTTTTTCCCATAGGCGAAATGGAGAAATTTGGCTCAGTAAGACACTCCGCTGTTCTAAAGTCCAGGAGTCCCCGAAACACCCTTGATTAATTCAAAGCCCAGGTAATCCTGAGTTTGGAACTCAGGCCTCATAATTACTTAGGTGAGGGATGTTGCCTCTCAGAAGCCGAGTCTTCTCACCCTTAAAATGAAGATACTAATATTTTGAGAATTTCTATGAAGATTCAGTGACCTAACAGTGCAGCAGGCCCTGCACGACGCCTGGCACACAGTGGGGCCGCAGGCTTGCTTGTAGCTTGCCGAATATGAACTGCGATGGAGCCGCTTTATACTTTTCATGGTGTGGTGCTTGTGGGCCATCCTGGCTGCAACATCATAGCAAACAAAGTGCAAGACGTGGTTTTATTTTTGCCTCATCTCAGAACCCTGCTACGGTACATGGTCCCCTGAAGGGCACTTTCCTTCCATTATGCTGTGGGCTGAAGATGTTTATTTCTCTCTCTCTCTCTCTTCCAAGCTGCCTTCTTCCTAAGTTCTCTGGCCTTATTAAAGCCACAATCCCCAGTGTTAACCCGGCTTCAGAAAGAGCTGGAGAATCATAAAGGTCCCACCTGAAAAGCACCTTAGTGATCAACTCACCTGGCTGTCTTCTTAGTACCATGACTTTTAATGTTTTGCTTTGCTTTCCTTTCTAAATTTCTAAAAATCTAATTCCTCAGAAGAGGGTTTAACTCTCCGTTCATCAGCATCAATGGAAGGAATATGTTGCCATCACTGCCTCACAGAATTGCAGGGGTAAAAGGTACCTTCTAAACCATCTGGTAGACCTGCCTTTTCCTGCACGAAACATCTCCATGAAAATTCTAGTACTCAGGCTTCTAGCCTGCATCTGAACAGGGAATCCACTATCTCATAAGGCAAACAGTCCATTTTTAAACAACACTAATTATTTGAAAAATCCTTATTAGATGAACTGACATCTGCTTCCCTGTAGTTTTTCTAACCATAGATCGTGGTTCTAGCCTCTGCGTAAATATAGAATATGTTCTGTTCACTTCATCTGGTGCTCTTAGGCACGTAAAGATGACTGTTAGCGTTCCTCTAATAAAACATCCTCCATATATTCAACTGTTCTTTAAGAAACTATTTCCAGACCTTTGACTCATTATGCTGTTTTAAAATATGTATACTCCATTTTACGAATTTCTCTCTTACAGTGCTTTTCTAGAATGAAGCATGTTATTCTGGTTATGGTTTTTCTAATGAAAAACAATGAGACCTCCACATCTTTCAAAATAGTGTATTTCTATGATTTCAGTCCAAGATCTCAGTGTTTTGAATACTGTTCTTGTTGACTTACACAAGCATCTGGTGAAGGAAAACCCTTAAAAATGCAGTCTGAAGTCACTTCTACCAGCAGTGGATTAAAACTCATTCCAGACCCTACAAGTCACTTACACAGGATGCCGTTCAGCCATTGCTATCAATGCATGTTTTTTCTTTTTAGCTCAATTTTAAGGCTAAATATATATTCATATTAAAAGTCATATTAAATTCTTTATTGTGTTTGGTTAATTGTTCTGAAAATTTTCAGGTAATATTAGACCCTAAGCATATATCTGATACACTTACTATTCTCCTGGCTTCCTGCCCCCCAGGAGTGTAACATGTGCTATTTTTTGTTGCCATTCAGGACAGGGACATAGACGCTGATCAGGTGACATAGATACAAGCCAAATAGACACAAGCGCGGTCAGGGTGCAGCGACAGATGCTAAGAAGTGAACGGGTAGTTATGATACAGTGTCATGAACACTCTGCCAAGGGAAGTATAGGTCCTGGGGGAGGCAGGGGTTCTGGTCAAGCGCTCTTATCCCAGATGAGAGAGGATTAGGGGCGCTTTCTGGAGGAAGGGAGGCATAAACAGTGGTCAGAAAGTTAAGCAAATTATCCAGGTAGAAAGAGAGGTGGGAAGAAGGTTTCAGGGAGAGAAGGGGACAAATGAAGACTGAGGCAAGAGAGTGTATGTTTGACTTAAAACACTGACAGACAATTGGTTGGCTGGAGTGTAGCAGTGGGGCCACAACGGAAGAGGCAGTAGCTGCTCCTGCAAGACTTATAGACCACGTTAAGGAGCTTGGACTCTAATTGCATTGGGGAGCCAGTGAAGAATCTGAAATACCAAATGGACATGATTGGATTTATGCTGCTGCTTCTGGTGACAGAGAGGAAAGGACTGGATGGTGGCAGTGCTGGGGGCAGGAACGTCAGCTGGGAGGCTGTCAGCATTCCAGGTGAGGGGTGGGGACAGTCTGGTCTGTCTGCAGGGAATGAACGCAGTCCCGGGGCCCTGCCAGGACCTGCCTCAGCTCTCCGCACCCCCACCCCATGATAATGTGCCTCCGAAAATGAGTGTATTAACTTTATGCCTCCACTGCCCAGTCAGTTGGGCCTACACGGAAAAACAAAGCTGGAGGGAGAAATGCAAGTCTTTCTCTGATATCTAGTTCTCACTGGTTCTCGCTCTCATTGCAAATGAAAACCCTGGCTTTCCAGGTTTACACCCCAGTCCTGAAGCTGGGCAATGTCTGGTGGGTCTACGTAAAGTCAGTCCACCCTTGAGGCAGCAGAGCGCAGTGGATGTGGATTCTGTAGGATGTGGATGTGGATTCTGTAGGATGTGGATGTGGATTCTGTAGGATGTGGATGTGGATTCTGTAGGATGTGGATGGGTATTGGAAGAGTAAGAGTTCCATGGTTAAAGCAGATTGGGAAATACTGGTTTAACCAAAACTAATGAAGATTCTTGCAGAGTTTACAGGTGACTGGAATATGCTGACATGCACTGCAAATCCACAGGTGCAACGTCTTCCAAACTTAAATGACCATGGATATTTTGTGTGTGTGTGTGGTGTATTTTGCAGAGTATGTTTTGGGAGATGCTTCACTGTTTACTAACTGTGCAACCTCAGAAAGGTTATTTAGTCTCTCTGAGCCTAGTTTCCTGATTTTTAGAAAGGCAATGAAATCCTTACCTCATAGGGTTGGTGAAGTATTAAATGGAAAAAATGCATGCAATGTGCTTTAGCACAGTGTCTGGCACCTAGAATTCTCAAAATTATTATTATTATGTTATTATTGTTATTACTGGGGGAAATAGAACAGCACAGCAGGTAAGAGCATGGCTTCTGGAGCCAGACTGCCTGGGCCCACATCCCGCTTCTGACACTTAACAAGTGACTTTGGACAAGTTACATAAACTTGCGCCTCACTCTTTTCATCTGCAAAGTGGTGGCAGCCTGGAGATTAAACGAGAAAATGCTGCATCGCCTGTTTTTTCAGCAAACAGGCCTGCTTTTCTTTTCCTGAATTTCTATAGGTGGGTGGATTCATTTTCTCCTGTTGATTCCCAAAATACACTTTTCTTTAAAAAAAAAGTCTATTATCATTAGCCATTTAGTATTATCTTAATACAGGTGATTTTATCCTGTGGACTGTAAGCACCATGAGGACCAGACCACGGCTTAATCATTAGCCCAGGGCAATGTGAAAAATGTCATGGCAAATACGCCACTTTTCACTTTAAACAAATTTAATACCTGAAAATTGGGAGCTAGGAGTTGGTTATGCATTTTAAAATAGGTTATTTCATGTTACTTCATTCACCATAGGATTAATCATAGGAGTCCTTTAAATGTCATTTATCAATTTCATTCTCAAAATATGCCAGTTTCAGGATTGTGTATTTGTACTGTTGAAGATACCGTGCGGGGTTTTATAACATGAAGCCTCCAGACCAGCAGTTTTATTTCAAATTGGAATAAAAATGCCGTGTCTTCACAGCTCACTTAGACCGCTTATAACAAA